GTTGCAATTGTTTTATAGAAAAGAAGAAAATAAAGATATACCTTTCTTTGACGCATTTGTGACAGAGAACACCGCCATATACTCGTTTCACAGTTTTTTTGCGTCTACACATTCGTGACCTTTCCATGGGTCTAGCTGGTTGAATTCCTCTCAATTTATCTTTACACTGACCACATCTCGGAATCTTTTTCGGTTTTTTAAGATATTGATATACTAATTTTCCACCAGGAGTGCGAACACTGCAAATGTATAATACGATATATTGTTACATCTTTTTAGTAGTTTGGATATAGATACATAGATACGTTGTAAATAAATTTTTGATTTAAATAATTGAAACAAAACTTCATTTTATATTCAATTAACATAAAATAGTACGATTTTACATAGTAAATATGTAAATATGTAAATTTCATACACAAAAATAAATCAAAACATAACCTTAAATGATCAAAGATTCATTATACTTTTATTAAGTTTTCTAATAAATTTTTTGCATTATAATTTGTACAATGTGTATATATTAAGTACGCGAATTTTGTATTAATATTTCTATAAAAGTAAATACTTACACGCGTCTCCTGTTACTTTTTGTATTATATGACAATCGACGTCGATAGGTTAAGCGCTGTACCATTTTGGTTCTGAAATATAAATTTATTTCTTAGCAGAAAGGTTCGTTCATATTGTAATAAATTATATTGTTAAAAAATATAGATTTCGAAGCAATTATAAAAACATGTGTACCTTTAAAGATTAATTTAAATAATTTAGATAATTAAACGTAATACAAAATTTAAACGAACCTTTCGTAGAATCAAGCGGAAAAGGAAACGACTACATCGGAAAAATTTTACTATACACAAGCGCAATCTTGTGCCACAAAATAGTAATACTCCCTAGTGTAGTAAACACGTAGAATTATTTCCCCATAAACTAAATATGTATTAGAAGGATGTTAAAGAACAAATTTTTTCCGTTTTTGAATTTGCTCAATAGAGGCACTATTTATTATCATAAGAAAATTTCATGCTGTTTGAAATTGTAACCGATCTGAATAAAGAATAATAAAGAATTATATTAACAAAAAGAGTTTAAATAATAAAAGAAAGCCAATTTTTACATCGTATAAGGTATATTATTTATTATATCTTATTTACATTCAACATCGTCTTGACAACACCATAGGAAAAATGTTTTTAGACACATTCCAAAATTTGTCGATATTAATTCTCTTATTGCATCTGTCGCGTTTTGTCGCTTTGTTTTATACAATGAATCGAGGACACACGATGGTGATTTGCTGAACCAATAGTGTAAAAACTCAGTTCGATGAGTATACATAAATTATGATGCGTGTACGTGATAGTAGATGAGCTATTTATAATATATACGGGACGGTACCTGTGTGCTTTGTCTTTTCGCGAATTTAATATATGTTTTTGTTTCTTTTCTTTTTATTTTTTTTGTTTGCTTTTCGTTTCCGAAGCAGGTACTTTGACAAAGTTCGCTGTAAACAGACTGTTAAAAAAATAATGATGAAAAAAAAAAAATTGAGAGTTAAACAACGTGCACGTAATTCGCTTAAAAAAACGCTTAACTAATACATAACTGCTTAGAGACTCGACGATCGTATCTATGATGTTGTATTTCATTTTTTCTTTTATCCTGTCGTCTCCCTTTACAATGGCATAATTTTTCAAAAATTCTGAAGTAAGGAAATAATGTCTCTCTTTTTTTCTTTTTTTTTTTCTTTCGTCCCCTTTCGTACAATTCTAATAAGGTAAATAGATAACCTACCACAATTAGAAAATTCTTTTTTTTTTTTAATTTAGTCAGATCTCTAAACAATAAATAAGGCTTTCTTTGCTTTTAATAAATAGTAGTACAGAAGTGTTAATCGAGTAAAAGTATTTAAGTAAAAGAGTGTCTGAGGAGGATGTCTTCAACGATTTTCCATTCGTTTACTCATCGCTACGTTTCCTCGATAGAAAGAGTAATGATTAATTACAAAAAAAAAAAAAAATATCGTAACTGATAATAAAAAGAAGACGAATAAAAAGAAAAACGATAGGAGGAAAAGCAAAGTTTATTCGCGTGAATCGAAGAGAATTTTTGATTCGGATTACGCGATCATTTTTTTTTTATTGCTCTTCCTTCTTTCGGCATTTTTGCATTTTGAATTCTCGTCTCTTATAACATAAAAAGCGTGTTGCGGTTAATTAAAACCGGGAAGGGAAAATAGAGAGAGATATAGAGGTAAAGATAGAGAGCGAGCAAACGAGCGAGCGGGAAAAAGAGAGATAAAGATGAAGAAAGATGGAATGAAGAATAGATATAGAAAGTAAATATCAAGTAACGATCGAAAGCTTTGAAAATACAAGCATGGATAGTATTGAGACGAAAAAAATTAAAGGATAAAAAGAAGAAGGGAAAGGAGGAAAAGAAGGAAGGCGGTTCGAACGCGAAAGACTCAAGTGAAATCGAAGAAGTCTCTAATAAGATATCTTTTACGCTCTAACTAATTATCATCTGCTCGTTTCGTGCCTACGATCGTTTAATATCGATAGAGATCTATGAAATCTAAATATTAATTCACTGAAACTATCGACATTCTCAAAACTTCAGGTCGCACTCGCAGGTTCGTCGCTAGACACAAATAGTTACGGCTGAAAGTTCTTAAAAATCTTTCTTTCATCTCTCTCTGGAGGAGTCCCGGCCGAATTTTCTATCCTTTTCAACGCTTTCATTTACTCGGGTAAGATTCGATTTACGCCGCGGTACAATATTTTATCGTTTGATACCCGAAATTTCGTTTGATCTCTCTCGATATTGTGCCGTTCGGTTGGGACTCCACGTGGCTTCATCACTCTTATGCTTTACCTTACTTCTCGTTAACTTTTTAATACGAACATTTAGGAAGATAGCGCTATCGATAATTAATATTTTCTGAAATTTGTTAACATTTTCTATATAAAAATCTGCATTTGCGTGTATTCACTTATTGCTTCTTAATCGTCGCCATTTTCAGTAGCTTTTCGTTCTCTTTCTCTCCCTAACAGAGACCAAACGTCCACCACGCGACGTCGTCTCGCCGTCTCGTCGAGAAAAACGAAACGCCGCGGGCGTCGAATACAAGTCTCCAGGACCTTCCTTCGCATTTTTCGAATGCAAACGGAATGACCTCGTGTAATCGAGAGGCCCGACGCATCGATGGCTCGATTCAAGAAATAATAAACTTAAACTAATAATAATCCGTCCTTTTGCTACGTCGGATCAATCTATACGCGAGAAATAATTTCGACTATTATTAGGGCCTTCTCCGTCCTCTCCCTACATCGACCATCGTCACGCCGAGCCTTATCAACTATATTTCTATCTGTTAATTCGTTAAATTAAGAATAAAAAATTTTCCCGGTGGCTCGCCCGATTTGTTTGGAAGCGTTCGAGTCGCGCTCGAATCGATCATCGATCTTTTTTTTTTCCCGACGAACGTTCGCCGATCACCCGCGGGAATTTCTCCCGCCGGATAAAATATCAATTACTGTGAACCTGGGAACCAGTCTTTACAATTAGCGAACGTGGATGTAACAAGATACAGACCATCCATCTCGACGAAACAAGCCTTTTTCTTCTTTTTTTTTTTCCTTTTTTTTTTTTTTTCTTTTTTTCCTCTCTTTAACCAATACTAATATCGTGATCGCTACGCGTGCACGCTGGGATGTGGACGTTGCGTTTGCGATGCGAAACAATTCGAATCACTCGTTTAAAAGTAAATCTACTATGTATTTATTAAAGACGATCGCTAATATTCAGCTTTCGTTCCTTTCGCGAAACCGTATCACGTGTAAAAAGGTGTCGTCGCGAAAACTTTTCTAGATAATTATTACCATTACGCCAAATCTTTTACTCGTCGTTGCTTCGAAAGATTTACCCGGTTCACGCACCTTATTATATTCATCTTTCATTATTCATTCATTTCTCTCTCTCTCTCTCTCTTTCTCTCTCTCTCTCTCTCTCTCCCTTTTTTAATACGCCTTGATATGTTCACGGTGTCGAGGGACACGTTTTATGATTTCTTCGGCATATAACCACTTTTTCTTCCACTCTTCTTTCGTTCGTTCGTTGATCTTCCAATCATCTCGAATAAATTTGTCTCGCGTTATAATATAATCTATTTCTTTCTCTCTCTCTTTTTTTTTTTTTAACGTATATGTAAATAGGGATCTCTCTCCCTTTCTCTTGCAATCAACGACCGCGCGATAGCGAGCGCCTCTCCTCTCTCACGCAAAACATTTTCCCTCGTTCACACACGCTTTCTCTCTCTGTTTTTTTTCTTTTTTTTTTTTTTTTTTTTTATTGGCACATGTTCCTGCTTCCTTACATCTTTCCTCTTCCTTCTCTAATCGGACAGGTACCTATACCACATATCGCATATACTTTATATAGGTAACGCGAAGGCAAGAATCATATCTTTCCCTCCTCCTTTCATTCTAATCTCTGTCTCATCGTCGTATATTAAACATATTCTAGAATTATTTCGAACGAATCTTGCTTTCAGTCTCACGTATATTACCTGTCGTTCCTTCGATCGTTTCGCCTAGAAACGGAACGGGGTGGTTTTCGTATTCGTACAGATATATCTACATGTGTTACGTCCGGTGTTACGTGTATACGTAAAGTGTACGTATATATGCGTATGTGTATGTGTATGTGTGTGTGTGTGTGTATATTTGTGTATCGTGTGTCGTGTTTGTACATCGATTAAGCTTTATCAATAAGGGCTACGATATATTCGCTGAATAACAGGACATAAAATACGGCGATTACGCTCTCAATAAAAAAGACACGCTTGCCCTTGATTTTTCCCTCGATCTATGCTCGTTACCTTAAAGCGTACACTTTACATTAGACCTCTCGAATCTTCGTTTCAGTTTCCTTAGATCAATCGTTGTTCGAGAAAACTTTCAGAGGGGGTTACAATTTAACGGGGTCGTTGATGTTACATTTAGGCCGTTTCTTATTCGTTCGTGCAAGTGGTCTGTACCGTGATGATGACACTTCTATTTTATTATCGATCGTTCAAGGACCCCGATCACCGTTTAACGTAACGTAAATGTAAACCGTTGCGCGAGATAAGTTAGGAACACGCTGTAAAAAACAAGAACGAGGCTTCGTCNAAAAAAAAAAAAAAAAGAAAAAAAATTTCGAGCGACAAAACGGAAAATCGACCGGCAGGACGATTTCTCTCTCTGCAATCGCGTGTGAGCAACGATTCAGCGCGTTAAACGTGATTTCGGTTTCTGAAAAAAGTTTCGAGTTTGAGATAGAAGAATTGCATACAAGATTGTTGCACGTTCGTCGCACGGTATTTTCTACGATTGTATACAATTGTTGCGGCAGTGATTATACAGTGGCAGTACGATTCCTTTCAACGCGATGATCACCACGAGATCAGCACCGCGCGAGAAAGATATTGTAGAAAGAGAAAGACAAAGTTAATGGCCGACTCGTTCGCGGAGTCGCGTACATATATTCTTTTTTTTTTTTTTTTTTTCTTCTTCCTTTTACTTATTGATCCCGTTAAGAGTTTCTTTTATCGCGTGCCACGACACCGTACGAAACGCTTTCAACCTATGGGTCGATCGCAGCCGTCGCAGCCGCGAAATTCGTCGTCTTCCATTTCCGTCGGGAGAGACGGGAGGGACAACTCGACTGACTGAAATATATTGAAATTCGCGTTGGAATGTGAGCGATATCCTCGATTCCTCGAGATTGGCGAGCCTCTCGTGGTGTTGCTCGTCTCGACGCTCGCCCGATCGCTCTTGGTCTCTCTTGTCTTGTCTGCGAAGGAAGGGATGATCCGTTCTGTCGTCCTGACTAGGTAGACGCCGGCTGGAGGACGATCGACGCGTAACCTCCTCGAATGAACGATGCGTAAGGTCGATCGAGGATATCGAATCCTGCGTCGAAATGCGTCAAACGTGTGAGAAGCGCACCGGCCGTGCGCCCAACGATTAAACGAGAAAGCCTTGCGAGGTGGCGGACATTTGCGCTCTCAGCGCCGTCACGCTGTTCATGATCTTCTTCTGGTGCCCTACCAACGTCACCCCAAGCGCCGTCAACTCCTGAACGGTGACTCGAGCGGCCGCCTCCAATGTAGTCACGCCGGATCTCTCGAAACTCTCCGCGTATCGTGACATCTT